CTAAAATATTATTTCTCTTAATTATCTGAGCTTACTGCAAACTGAGTTATACAAATGCAGTTGATGTAATTAATAGATTGTGTGAAGGCAGAAAAGATTGAGAGCTAACATGCATTTTATTGCAAACCGTGTCCCCTGGGGTGTCACTTGGCCTGGCCTATATGTCCTTAGTGTTCCCAATGATCGTGCAAAGTGAGCACTGTCATTCCCACTCTACAGCTGAAAACAGGCTGAGAGGAGCCAGTGACATGGCCGAAGTCCCCACAGGAAGAAGGCAGAACCAGGACTTACTTAAATGTCGGTCATATGTCTCCAAATCTGGAAATTCTACTCTGTCCGCACTGGCCGCCTAACCCTGCCAGGGCTTCTCTGGGCTGAGAAACACACAGAGGGTGTGAGGTGACCGTGTGAAGCCGGTCCCCCCTGCCAGCTGACACTCCATCCTCAGGCTTCAGCTGGACTCCCTCCCTCTGGCTGCGTCCCCACGCCCCTGTGCCTACTGCAGGCTGTCAGGAGTGACGTTCTCCATCTCCCACGCAGCTATTTCTTCTCTGTCACCTTTTTCCCTTTTCTCTCACTGGAACGCTTGAGTCTTGGGCTTTATCTTTCCTGCTCTCCCACAGTCTCCCCCACATGCAACCTCTCCGTTGTTCTCTTTCCTTTCTCTCTCTTCCCCACTGGCGTGTTCCCTCTGTTGTCATTTTCCTGTCCCCTCAGCTTCCTCTTCCATCTTTTGCCTCCTGTCTAACTCCACCCCTCTCTCTCTCCACCCTCAGTCCCAGGCTTCCCTCTTCCTGCCTGCAGCCAGGGGGTCTGGCCAGGCAATCACCTGGACACCAGCACTTTGGGCAAGTCCTCAAGGAGTCACCAGACTGTCCTGGTGGGTAAATCAGGTTGGGGAGAAAATGGAGAGGGATTTATTCAGAGTCAAGGCTGGGCAGTTTCACACAGCAGAAGCCCTCAGGGCTTTGGCCCTGGCCTGCTGTACACCTGAACAGCGGGTGTACTGGTCTGGGACCATGTAACGAATGTCCTTGGGCATGCGACCTGGCATAGCACGGATGTGCTCAGGGCCTGCTCCTCACAATTCTGCCAAGGTTCCTGCCAGTACACTTGTAAACAGAAGAAAAGCAGATCCTCTTCAGGAACTCCTGGCCCATCTGGGCTCAGATTTATTGGTGTTTATTTGGAACAATTACATGATCATCTTCTCCCCCTTGGTGATAAACCAGGTGTTCTTGTAAAAAGAAAGCCAGATGTTCTTCTTTGGCTAATTTTGCTGTTACAGTCTCCAAGAAATGAGGTGAGAATTGTAGACACTTTTTATCTGAAGAACTAGAAAACTTCTAATTCCCTGGCACCTGTAAAAAAAAAAAAAAAAGCCAGGAAGTAGAAAGGGGGGTGTGGGTGAGAGGGGCAGGGGGCAGGGCTCCTGTAGTCAGGCTTGGCATAAGGATGAGACAGCAATCACTGGACAAGGCTGAGTTCACTGTAGCTCCCTTCCCCAGGGTTTATTATTTCTTGTCTGGAAGATTTAGCAGTTTTGGTTTCCCCCACTGGCCTTTAGATACGTGGTAATTCTCCTGAGACATGCTATTGGATGTACTGCTGCTCCCCTTGGAACTGGGATGTCAGCAATACATCTATTTAGATTTCTGTTTAATAACACTATTATTCTGTCAGAAATATTAGTAATAGTAATAAAATTAATGTAGGAGCTTGTTAATATCGTATAGGACATGAAAGTCTTTTTCTTCTATCCTGTTAGGGAACGGGCATGAGAGTGAATCCAAAGCTGTCAGGACAGGATCCCTGACTCCAGGCACAGGGCGCCAAGTAGGACCTCCCCATAAGATATCCAGATATCCAGGCTCTAGGGATGTATGCCTTCCTGAGGCCACTGGAATTCACAATGACAGCACCCAGGGAATGCACTGGAGGATATCAGGCCCCTCATCAGGAAAAAATTATAAAGATACAGGAACTGGGAACCAAGATTTATCAATGCCGTGAAGGCTATGAACTCACGATTGCTTGAAAGAAAATCAACCTATTATTTATTCCCGAAGGTTTGAATGTATGTGATCCCTCCAAAACTCCTAAGTTGAAACCTCACCCCTAGAGCAATAGTGTTGGGAGTGAGGCTTTAAGAGGCAGCTAAGTCATGAGGGCAGAGCTATCAGGAGTGGATTAATGTTGTTATGGAAAGAGCTCACAGAAGAGAGTGCTCACAGAAGACAGTTCACTGACTTGCCCTTTCACCTTCTGCCCCGTGATGACACAGCAAGAAAGCCCTCACCAGATGCCATCACCTTGATCTTGGACTTCCCAGCCTCAGTAACTGTGAGAGAACAACCTCGTGTTTATTAGGAATTGCTCGGTTCTAGGTACCCTGTGAGAGCTGCATAAAACACACTAGGTCACATCCTTCTTGAAATTGAGCCAGTGTTCCTGCCCACTGATCTCACTAGGTCATAAGGAATTAGGACAAGGATGTGCTAGTGCTCTTCAAAGCACCTCAGGTATAATGAGGGCCAAAGTGTTTCTGGAAACACACATTGTAAAATATCAGCAATGCTGGCTCTATTCCCTTCACCTTCCTCTTGTAGCCCCACAGGACCCAGAAGCCAGAAGCCGTCCTGGGGATGAACGTGCAGCTCTTTAGACTGCTCTCCAGAAGCAAGAACCAGTCCTTCTGGGCCCTGCAGCTCTCCCTGCCCTGGGCTGCTCTTGGTCCCCTCTGTCACATCCCAGGTAAGGACCATGAGCAGAGGTGTGAGCCTGCAGTGACTCAATGTGGGAGGAGCTCCATGAGGAACAAAAGATGCTTGTCCAGGGCTCCAGTGTGTAGGCACCAGGTCAGCTGGCCTCTTTCACACTCCAAATGACCGTACCCCAGCCCTGGTCCCATGGGGAACTGAAGTGCTTTCACTAACTGCTATGTCCATTATAAAATCAAGGAGGAGAAAAGGTTACTAACATGATGAGCATTTGTGTTTTATTTGTTAGGAAAAACTCTTAGTTACAAAAATGTTTTCTTCCCACCGGCCCCACTGTGGTCCAGGTAACTTTGAAAGCCAACTTTTTTTCCTGTGACGAGAGCCACACAGCTCCTAAACTAACCCTTGTGCATGTTTAAAAATGTTTTACATCTGGACTTAGGCCAAGCAGGGGCCAGAGGAGGCGTGCACTAGAACAGGGCTTGCAGCCCAAAGTCCAGGCTTCTGTGCTGCCGGCGACTCTGGGGAAGGCCCCGAGAGGCCACTTTCCTGCAAAGGCCTCTGAACTGTGCCTCAGCCACTTGATGTGGGTAGTTTTTCCAAGAGAGGGAAATCGGCTGAGGTCCAAGGAAGTAAACAAGGCACTGAACCACGGTCCTCAGTGTGCTGAGGTCAGTGGATGGAGCAGAAAGTACAGGCTTTGAGCATGCTGCTCCTTCCAGGAGGCTTCTGGTTCATTCATTCATTCATTTGAACATGCTGTTGGTTCCAGGTGCTGTGTGAAGCCTGGTTCTAGGAGAGCATGTTTACTGAAACCCTGTACATCTAAGCTTGGCTTCTTGATGCTCAACTGAGTCACTTTGACCTTGGATTTTTCATAAACTCCTGTAAGCTTATTTCTGTAACTCTAAAAAGCTTTTAATTGCACCCTGTACTTTGAAAGTCTTAATTAAGTTAATGAATGTCAAAAAGTAGTGACCATAGTGTCTAGAAAGGGGTAAACAAAAGGTAAAGAACCAAGAATCAGGTGAGCAATCCGAGTACATCCTTTTAACTTCATGTCACTGAAAGAGGCATTAGGAGGGTAGGAACGACAGCCTTAAACTGCCGGCACCATCCCGTCCTCATCTTCTGGCAGCAGGAGAGTTTGTTTGTTGGAGGAGGGACAGAGCAGTGACTGGGGACTCTGCATTGGAGCTCAGTGCTGCCCTGTCACAGTGGAAAGCAACGCTGAGCAGACCTCAGCCTGCACCCACAGAAGGAGCATGTACACCAGCCCTAGCCAGGGGGAATCTCCCATCCCAGGGGTTGGAACTTGAGTTTTGACAAGCTTCGCACCAGGAGCTCAAGTGCTCCGGGGCTCTACATAAACCTGAAAGGCAGTCTAGGCCACAGGACTGAAATTCCGAGGCAAGTCCTAGTGCTGTGCCGTGCTCAGAGCCTGTGGATGCGGAGACCCAGGACCTGGGAAGATACCAGCCCAGGCGGTAAAGGAGCGCTTGCACCACTCCCCCTACAAGCCCAGGCAGTTCAGCTCACAGCAATAAAAGTGACTCCTTCTTGACAAGGGTAGAGGAGAGAAGAAAGAGGACTTGCTCTCGCATCTTGGATACCAGCTCAGCCACAGCAGACTAGGGCACCAGGCAGAGTCATCAGGCCCCCGTTTCAGGTCCTAGTTCCTGGACTACACATCTAGACACACCCTGGGTGAGAAAAGAACCTGCTGCCTTGAAGGGAAGAGCCCAGTCCTGGCAGGATCCATCACCTGCTGACTGGAGAGCCCATAGGCCCCGAAGAGCCAGCAGCAGGGAGTACCCCATGGGCCTGGGGTGAGACTCTGACATGTGCTGGTTTTAGAGACCCGCTGAGCCACAGCAAGGTAGACCACCAAATGGGCTCTCGGGTCTCTGATTTCAGGCCTTGGCTCTTGAATGGCATTTGTGGGGCCTGCCCTCGGTCAAAGGGAGCCCACTGCCCTGAAGGGTGAGTCCCGGGCCTGGTGGTATTCACTACAAGCTGACTGAAGGGCCTTTGGGTGCTAGGAGGAGCACCAGGTACATTTGTAAGGTTTCTGACTCCAGGCCCCAGCTCCTGGATGGCATCTCCGGACCTTCCTGGGTCCTGGAAGAACCTGCCACCCTGAAAGGAAGGACAGAAGCCTGGCTGGCTTTGCCACCTGCTGATTCCTACAGCCTTGAGTGAAAATAGCAAACAAGGTACCCAAGTAGCGGTTAAAACGGGCCTTGGGCGGGACCCCGTGATGCGTGGCTTCAGATCAACATTGGTGGGCTTGGACGAGATCTGCAAGAAGTGTCCGGATGAACAGGCAGAGAATCTTGTCCTCTTTTCTCACTTTCTTCCAAACAAACAGTCTCTTTCTCTCTGTTGCGCTGTCTAAAGCTGGGGATGGGCGACGCAAGTATCCCTCTGGCTGCCACTCCTGGGACTGCACTGAGTCAGAATTGAAGCCAGCGCATCACTGTGATGCTGGGACATCCCTTCCCACGCAGCTTAGAGCTTGTGGTTTGTTCTTAGTTTCCAAACTCTCCATGTGCTTCGTGTTTATATGTCCCATCTTCTCATCTGGATCGTCCCAGCATCACAACGTCACACATCATCCGTCACCAAGCAACCCACACTCTGGTCATGCCACCTTCGACACTTGCTTAATTACTCTGAATCTCTCTTTCCTTGAAATAAAGAGAAAAGCAACCATCCTTCTCACCTTCCCAAACTGTTGTAAGAAATCAAATGAAGAGTAGAACTGTGGCATTTTAGTATTGAAAGAAAACTCAGTAATATCCAATCATTCAACTTCCAGGTGGTGAAACAGGATTCTGAGAAGCTCAGAGAGTTCCTTTCCCCAGCTACAGAGCTAGCAATGATAACTAATGCTATCCTAAACTTACTGTAGCTATACTTAGGTGGTGATTCACTTATGGAACATTTTTACATAACTAATTTAATTGTTGTTCATTCACACATAAGCCTCTGCTCCATGCCCAGCCTGTGCTAGGCAGGGCGGTGAAGAAGATCCACACCAAGCTCCATCCTCTTGGAGCTGTGGCATCTCCAGTGGGGCTGGCATGAGGCCCTAATACAAGAGTGAGAGCCACAGCAGTGCTGGGGAGCACACAGCAGCGGCTGGGGCCAGGGAAGGCCTCAGACAGATGAGGTCAGTGAGAGCCCTGGGCTACAGACAGGAGACTTTTAGGTGAGATGGCAACCAAATTCAAATGGCACCTGTGGTTTTCAACCCCAGTGTCGGGCTGCTCTGCATCGATATCATGCAAACTCAACACAGACGGATCGGGGGAAGATTCCTGGTGTTCCCCAGGCTGAGAGGGCTCAGATCTTGGAATGACTCTTGGGAAGGGAGGTAGCTCAGGGCAGTGGTTGGGACACAGATGGGCAAGACTGCCCAGGCCCACGTCCTGGCTGACTCCTTTCTAGCTGTGTGGCATGGACAATCGTGACAACCTTGCTGAGCCTCGTTTTCTCATTAGCAAATGGGTAGAACAGGGCAGCTACGAGCACTGAATTGGGCGAAACTTCCCAAAGGCTTAGACCATGGCCTGGTATGTCGCCAGTGCAGCAGGAGTGTTGGATGATGAACCCTTGTGCCCCATTGGTGAGACAGTAATGGTTATTTCATGCCGGAGTTGACATCGACATTTTAAGGAAGAAAGTGGAATCTAAGAGGAGGATCAGAGGAAGCGCTGGGTTTGGATGGAGGCTGAGGAAGGGAGAGGGCAGCTGTGTCAGGAGGAGCGGAGACATGGGAAGTTCAGACCTGGCCTGACGTCCTGACAGGAGAGCCGTGGGTTGGGCCACACACTGCCGTCTCGCCTCTGGCTGGGGGGACCAGAGACCCTGGCACACTTCACACTCGTGGTTCTTTCCTCTTGGTCTTGATGTGCTGTTCAGATGCAGCAGGAGCTGCCCGGGAATGTCCAGCTCATTTCATCCCACTCGGCTCTGGGGGAGGGGCCTGCCACAGAACGTCCATGGAGACTTGTCTACAGCTGGGTTTTTGGTTTTTTTTTTTTTTTTTTTGAGACGGAGTTTCGCTCTTGTTTCCCAGGCTGGAGTGCAATGGCGCAATCTCGGCTCACTGCAACCTCCGCCTCCTGGGTTCAGGCAATTCTCCTGCCTCAGCCTCCTGAGCAGCTGGGATTACAGGCACGCGCCACCATGCCCAGCTAATTTTTTGTAGCTTTTAGTAGAGACGGGGTTTCACCGTGTTGACCAGGATGGTCTCGATCTCTTGACCTCGAGATCCACCCGCCTCGGCCTCCCAAAGTGCTGGGATTACAGGCTTGAGCCACCGCGCCCGGCCTGGGTTTTTGGTTTTAAATCTGTTTTCTAACTTATTTTAACTCCCAGATGAAAAGTAATATTTTGTTAGATGGCGGCAGGCTAGGTTTTGTGGACAAGGCCTGCCCGGTTGTGGCCAGCTCTGAGGGAAGAGTGGACTCGATCCTGGCCTGGCCGTCACATGGAGCCGCCTGCAGTGTTTCCAGGCTGCTAAGCCCAGATGGCAGGCTGAGCTGGCTGCCCTGGGGTTGGGGCTCCCAGGTGCCCCAGTGAAGGAAGCAGAGCTCCACCCTGCTGAACTCACACAGCGTTTGGAGCCAGGCCCCTGACTCAGAGACCGGGGGAGAGATTGAAGAGGAGCCTGGAACTGTCCTAAAGGAGGGCAGCTGATCAGCTGATCCTGTGAGGGGAGCAGGATCACGGCTGAAGACCCTAGAGAAGCAACTGCCACTGAGGGGGCGTCCGCACCACCTGTGGTGTGCTCACTAAAGGTGGCCTTGTGAAATGTGCTTTCATTTATTTATTTATTATTTTTTAAATTATACTTTACGTTCTGGGGTACGTGTGCTGATCGTGCAGGATTGTTACACAGGTATACATGTGCCATGGTGGTTTGCTGCATCCATCACCCCGTCCTCTACATTAGGTATTTCTCCTAATGCTATCCCTCCGCAATCTCCCCACCCACTGCTTTCCCTCCCCCAGGCCCCCACCCACTGACAGGCCCTGGTGTGTGGTGCTCCCCTCCCTGTGTTCTGTGTCCATGTGTTTTCATTGCTCAACCCCATTTATGAGTGAGAACATGCAGTGTTTGGCTTTCTGTTCTTGTGTCAGTTTGTTGAGAATGATGGTTTCCAACGCTATCCATGAATTTTGGGTTTCCACATAAAATATATAACTTTTTTTCTTTTTTTGAGACAAAGTCTCTCTCTGTTGCCCAGGCTGGAGTGCAGTGGTGCGATCTTGGCTCACTGCAACCTCCATCTCCCAGGTTCAAGCGATTCTCCTGCCTCAACCTCCTGAGTAGCACAGGTGTGCACCATCACACCTGGCTAATTTTTTTTTGTATTTTTAATATAGACGGGTTTTACCATGTTGGTCAGGCTGGTTTCGAACTCCTGATCTGCCTGCTTCAGCCTCCCAAAGTCCTGGAATTAAAGGCGTGAGCCACTGTGCCTGGCCAACATTTTTAAAAGTCAAAAGATAGAACAGGCCGGGCGCGGTGGCTCATGCTCGTAATCCCAGCACTTTGGGAGGCCAAGGCAGGCGGATAACAAGGTCAAGAGATGGAGACCATCCTGGCCAACATGGTGAAACCCTGTCTCTACTAAAAATACAAAAAAATTAGCTGGGCGTGGTGGTGCGCACCTGTAGTCCCAGCTACTTGGGAGGCTGAGGCAGGAGAATTGCTTGAACCTGGGAGGCAGAGGTTGCAGTGAGCTGAGGTCGTGCCACTGCACTCCAGCCTGACTCCTGGTGACAGAGTGAGACTCTGTCTTAAAAAAAAAAAAAAAGATGGAAGATTTGAAGATACACCTCAACTGTATTCTTTGCTCCTACCAGCTGCAGTTAGCCCGTCATTAACACAGAGTTAGCACATTGGAAGGCCACATTTTGGTGATCTCTGCGATAGCTGAAGCCCTGGTTTCCTGGAGGTGTCATCACCTATGAGCACAGGAGGGGTAAATAGACTCAGCAAATAGAGGAGGCGATGTGCCTGCCAATCTGTTCCCCTGCATTCTGCCAGGAAATAAGCCATCTACAAAAATGTGACATGAGAGGAACAACAAATGCCATGACAAGCACCAAAATGACAGCCAGGCCAGAGGCAGGTCATCTCCTCCCTCAGAACTGCCCACAGCCTGGTGGGATTTCCCGTGATGCTCAGCCAGCTCCTGCTGGCGACTCCTGCTCCTCCTCACTGATGACCTGTGTGGGCAGCTCACCTGGGGCATCCCAGCCAGGATTCCACACATTGTCAAGGCGAGGGAGAGCCCTGGGTCCTCCGCTGTGGCACAGGTGTGGACCCCGCATGCTTTGTGTGCATGGGCAAATTCATAAAGATGGACAAGGTAATATTTGAATTTTTTAAGTTAATCATAAATATTTTAAAATTTAACATTTCATATTTGTTTCATAACATGAGACATACAAATTAGAAGCATAAAAATAAATTTTGGGAGGCCAAGGTAAGAGGATCACTTGAGCCCAGGAGTCTGAGACCAGCCTGAGCAACATACTAGGACCCCATCTCTACAAAAATAATAATAATAAAAAAAGATTAGTCGGGGTAGTGGTGCGAGCCTATAGTCTTAGTTGCTTGGAAGGTTTAGGTGGGAGGGTTTCTTGAGCCCAGGAGTTCAAGGCTGCAGTGAGCCATGATCGTGCCACTGCATTCCAGCATGGGCTACAGAGAGAAACCCTGTCTCAAAAAGTGAAAAAAAGCAAAAAAACCCACAACTTTGCCAAAACATTTAGGTCTCTGATTAGCAATCTGCCTTTGATCCATTCCTGCAGGTGACTACCATAATTTCTGGACATTTAAAAATACTTTATCCTCCCTATTTATTCCTAAGTAATATATTATATGCCTGCATTTTAACTTTGTGTGAGTGGTGTCACATTATCAGCATTTGTATCATGAGTTATGTAATTCATTTTTGTCTATTGTATATTTCTATTATCATATCATAGTCCATCTTGAATTAATGGACGTCAAATTATTTGTCACACACTCATGAACCCTGTTAGTCAGCTTTTCCCTTAACAAATGATTTCAGGATTCTAGTGGCTTCTAACAACAGACACTGAGGCGCACTCCCCAGGGCCAGCTGGGGCTGAGGGCTGAGCAGGTTTGAGCTCCACTGGGCCCAGACAGATTCTGGGCTTCTGTGCAGCTGTATTTTTTTAATTTGTATAAATTTGTATGGTATTGGCCAGGCACAGTGGTTCCTGCCTGTGCTCCCAGCACTTTGGGAGGCTGACATGGGAGGATCATTTGAGTCCAGGAGTTCGAGACCAGCCTAGGGAACATAGTAAGACCTTCCATGTCCACACAAAGTTTTAAAAGAAAGAAAATTAGTTGGGTATTGTAGCAAATGCCTGTGGTCACAGACACTCAGGGGGCTAAGGTAGGAGGATCGCTTGAGCCCAAGAGTTCAAGGCTGCAGTGACCTGCACGCTGTGTTACCTGCACAGATTGCATAATGGTCCAGTCGGGACTTTTAGAGTACCCATTGCCCAAATACCGTACATGTACCCGTCAAGCAGTTTCTCGTCACCCACCCTGCTCTGGCCCCATCCGGTCAGGTTTGGTTTGGCTCCACGAGGCTCCCTTCTGGAGAGCGTGGAAGGTGCCTTGGCTGCCTGGCACATCCTCTTCTCATGGAGCAGCGCAATAGCCCAGGAGGCCACATGAAGCCACATGAGCACACGTCTGGCTTCTTTCTGCATCGGATCTGCAGATCTGACCCATGAGGCAGAACATAGCCTGGCCAAGTCCATCACCAATGGGACGGAACTGTGCTCCGGCAGGAAGAACAGCCAGGACACATGGCAAAGGTGGATAATCCTGATATACTTCAGGGTGGCAAATGGGGAGTGGTGCCCGGTGTACCTTGCACTCCTGTACACGGTTAGAGGAGTGCACAGGGGAGCTTGTACCTTCTCGTGAAGGTGAAACTCACCCGTCCTTTGGCCCAGCCGTGCACTGCAAGGCATGTACTCCGCAGAGATGCACACACGAGCTCCTTAGGAGGCACAAGCACCTTTATCTGCATTATTCTTATCAGTCTCTTCAAAAATACCTTAGGATAGGTATTATTCTTCTCAGTTCATAAATGAGAACGTTGGGATTCGAGAAGTTTAAGTAATTTGCTAAGAAATTAAGAATCCCAGACCTAAGGATAAGGTCTCTGAGTCAGCCAGTGCCCTCAGCTGGGTCCCGTGGTGCTCGCCTGCCTTGGCACATGGCCCTGGGGCTGAGAGCAGTGACTCCACTGCATTGCTTACCTGGCAGACAGAGGTTGCTACTCACTATTCCAGTCCTGGGGTCTCATTCTTCTGGGATTAAACTGGGAAACAAAGCTAAGGAAGCCATGTACCCAGAAGTCATGATGACTTAAGGCAAAGCATCTAGATTTTTGGAGCCCAATATTTGGTCACCTAAAGTGTCCCTTTCTCACGCAGAGTGGGATCCCTGGGAGCTTCAGCAAATGAGCTCCCCACCAGGAAGGTCCAGGTGCTGCCTTCAGGACTTGTGATCACATTCCTGCTTCTGCCATTGATCACAGAACCAGAGAGAAGTATTTTTGAGAATTGGTAATATTTAGATAACAGGGCATAGCTAAGGGAGCCCTGGGGCAGGTGCTGGCTTCCCGTGAAGCTGAACAAGATACCCTGTCTGATTCTGCTGCGAAAGATCATGAAGGCGACTTGCAGAAAGCAGAGGAAAGAGGGATGCTAACTCCCACTGACACCCCAGGGCGTCCACTCAGGGCTATCTGTTTACACACAGGAAGCAGATGGTCAGACAGGCAGGGCAGTATGAGAAGCAAGGCTGCCCAAGGCCAGACCCCATGTTGCCTTGGATGAAGCCCAAATCCCATCATAATGGCAGAGTAACAGCCGTCCTTGCTGGTCGCCCGCCATATGAGCTTCCCTGAGACGCAATGATGGGCCTTTTATGGGTTGGGTGGAGTCCTTGAGCCACCTTCCAGGTCTTCTTGAGTTTATAGAGCGTTCTATCACTCAGAAGCATTGACAGAGGAGCGAACTCAGCTCTCTGGGACACCTGCAATGGGGCAGGGGTGGGCAAACGCAGTGGCCACAAGGTCAGCCAGGGTAAGGCAAAAATCATAACGGGAAAACTCAAGGGAAGTGAATCATGTATTAGTGGTGAGTGCCCAAAACACAAATTACTTCCAGGGAAAAGTAACAAATTCTACTGAATGTGCCAGACCCTTTCTAGCAGAGGCGGCTCCAGGAGGGAGAGTCTGCCACCAGCCTGGCCAATTACTTGGTGAAATTAGTAGGTGTTCCTGAAGACAAGTTCATCTGGATGTGAAGCAAGTTTCCATAGCCATCATAATCCTCCAATGATATGCATTTATGACCAGGAAGGGTAAAATCTGGAAAGACCAGGGTCACTGGGCAGCCATGAAGCATAGGAAGTCCCTTGGGAAAGTCTGGTGGAGCGAACGGCAGGAGGGCAGGCCTTTTCAGCTGTATTCTCCTGATGTTCCTAAGGAAAGGTCTGAGGTCCTCTCACGCTTGCATTTCCACTGCTCCAGCCTCTTTGGGTGTAGCCCACATTGCACTCAGGAGCAGCCCCTCATCCCCCCAACTCACTGGTGGACAGCCACACCTTCAGCCAAATGAGACAGACATGGAGGAGAATAAGAGGCAATGGCACCTCATAAAGTGTGTAGGGCTTGGCACTGGGAGCATTTCCAGGGGACCAGGGGAAGTCAGCCTCCTCTCTGCAGTTCTCCTGGAGAGAAGACCAAGGCCTCTCCCTTCTGGATGCTGGGCTAACCTTTATTTCCTCCTTTGTCTGAAATTAGTAGATTGAAGGCAGAGATTTAATCTTTGCAAATCAAGTTCCAGAATGGTTTTCTGGAGCCTGCTGGGCCAATGTGGCATTCTCTGAGAATGTAATACAACCTCTGTGTTTCTCTAATGCCTCGGGATGTGGGGAAGCAGGCAGCGTGCAGCACTCAGAGCAGCCTGAAGCCCCCGATCTCGTGTCTGTCTTCATGGATCAGGCCTCTCGTGCAAAGTGGCTCTCCTATCAGTGGGCACATAAGGAGACACATCAGGCCCCTTCCCATAACTGCTTCTTGCAAAGGAAGAGTAGACAGGACAGCCCAGAGCCAGGCTCACCAAACCATTCGTCTACAGATTAAACATCCCAATTCACATTCCATAGGTTTTGTGTTTGTGGGTATATGTATAAACAGAAAAGTTGATTCTAAAATTCTTATGGAAATGCAGTTTTTAAAAATAAAAACAAACAAAAAGTAAGAAAATAAAATTCTAATGGAAATGCAAAAATATACGAGTAAAATTCTTGAAGGAAAAACAAGGTGAAAGGCTAGCACAACCAAATATTAAGATCTGTTACAAAGTTCACTGATTAAGATAGCATGCTATTATCGGTGCAAGGACAGACAGCCTTGCCAATGTGTTAGAATAGAGTCCTGAACTGATCTATGCATACGGGGTCCCTGGATCTGTAACAGAGGTGACATTATGATAGCACTTTTCCATAAGTGGCACCAGGACACATAGATGTGAAAATGCACTAGCCTGGAAATATAAAGTGAGATAATCACCTTGCATAGCTCCTTGCAGATGTACTAAGGGTAAGTCCACGCATGTGTGAGCCAACAACTCCACTCCTAGATATATAACCAATGGAAATGCAAACACATGCTTTCTAAACAATGGATCCAAGAACGTTCCCTTTATTAATAGCTATTATCTAGAAACCACACAAATGTCCTTCAGTGAAATAATAATGAAATACACTGTCGGTATTATAGTCACGCAATTTAATACTACATGGCAAGAATAAGGAACCCTCCACACCCATGCACAATAAGCACAATGAACACATACACACAAATGCAACGAAAGAAGCCATGTAAGAATGTATGTGGGCATGGTTCTACTTTTATAATCTACAAAGACATCCAACCTAAC